GCGTATCTTCTCAGAAGCTGCACCCAGCGCGCGCAAGCTTCTGACAGCGTGGGAGACGGGAGGCTGCACTTGGCGGTGGATCAGGTGAGTATTTAAAAAAAGAAAATGTGCTATTTTATGTTCCCGGGGACATCATTTGTATGGGGATGCTCTCCTCAATCTGGGGACTTTGCCCAGAAATCGGGGATGAATGTAGAGCTGCCACAACTAATCGACCAAGTCGATTATAATCGATAATTGAAAAAGTTCTCCAAGTTTTCAATCATCGATTATCGGCTTATGGTATTCTGCATTGCACTGTATAGAGGACTACAAATCCCAGCAGTAATATATTATACAGCGCAACGCAGAATACCACCAGCTATGGAGGACTACAACAAATCCCAGCAATAGTACATTATAGCTGGCGGTATTCTGCGTTGCGCTGTATAATATATTATTGCTGGGATTTGTAGTCCTCTATAGCGGTGCCATTCTGCATTGATTGCTGTATAATTTTACAAGTTCCATTTCACTATATTGCACACCACACTTTTTTTGTTTTCTTCCACCGCTCCAAGCTTGCTCCTGTGATGGACTACAATCTCAATACAAACTAGTAGTCCATCACTGGAGCCACTTTTTTTAATCCCGATTAATTGAACTTAATATTTGGCTAACTAATCGATTTTCAAAATAATCATTAGCTGCAGCTCTAGATAAATGGTCAAAGGGAACAGTTTTTCTTTTTTTTTTTACATTTCGGTCATTTTTCCTTAATATAGTAAATATTAAACACCACCAAACGAAAGCTCTATGAGTCCCCCCAAAAATGGTATGAAATTAGTTTCAGTACAGCATTGCATGACGGAAAAGTGGTTAAAAAAATGTTTTTTTAATTTTTTATTGTTACTTTAATTTTTTTTTTTATTTCACACTCAGCTTTATTGCTATCACATAGGGGGCTAACAAGTCCCCTATGTAATAGCAAATATAATGTGACAGGTCCTCTTTATGGAGACATCAGGGGTCTTGCAGACCCCTAGTTTCACCTAGGGACCCCAAAGAAGCCCATGAAGCCGAGATCTGCTTCACCAGCTTCTTCTTCTGGCTCTAGGAGCCGGAGACTGTGTACAGTGACACCAGAAGTAATGAAATGCACCTCACTTTCGATGTCCAGTGATCGGAGGAGAGATCCGTGGCTAGAAGCTGCTGATCTCTCCTCCGATCTGTCAGGGGAGACCCTCCACACTGGTCCCGGGCTCACACGAGGGACAGATGAGCCTGGGAAGCTGACGGCAGCTGACGGCAGCACCAGCGGCTGCAGAGGGGGACACGGTGCCGTATTGTACAAGCGATCCGGCGTCTATGCAGACGCTGGATCGCTTGTATTTAAACAGCAATCATGGTTAAAAAAAAACACACACATATCACACACATATCACACACATAGCTTCATTAAAAAAAAAAATTACACACACATTAAAAAACACTCTCACAACTAATAATAGTTCATTAAAAAATGTCCCCCTCTCCTGCTCCAGGAAGGGGGGCTGCATCCCTGGGCTTCAGTGAAGAATCAGTGTGCTCTGCACTCTGGCTGGTGCAGACATACTAATCGCTCCCTGCATGTTAGCAGAGGCACCACGAAGGAGCGATCAGTATGGTCTGCATCAGCAAGAGATGCAGATCATACTGATTCCCCACCAGGGAATGATTTTCATTCAATATATTGCCGTTTCGGCAATATATTAAATGGGATGTGGGCTCTTTCCAGGTTTAAAGATGGCCGCCGCTACTCGTGGCGGCCATTTTTAAAAACCTAATGTGCAGTGGACACAGGGGGGACACCGGAGGCTCGCACAGCATCCGAGGTTACGATGTGGAGTGTGCGGGCCCCGGCTTCCTCCGGTGCTGCGGGGACCCAGCCGCCTTCAGTCACCTGTACGGCTGTCACCCAAGTAAGGTTCGCGGGCCCCTGAGGCTGGCCGGGCTCCTTACTTGAGTGTCGGCCGTACCCCCCTGACGGTGGCCCTGGTCGCAGCAGTCGTATACGCGCGCAGCACTGACGAGGCATCCCTCCACTACCAGTGTGCTATAATTTTCCTCAACCCATACTCTACCGCGTCTCTTCCAGGTGCACATGTCATGAAGAAAGGGGGTCATGAAAACAGCTGATTCGGATCACTCGGCCCCACTGGAAGTGACACAGTCGAGAAAATGTATAGGATCGAGAAAAATTATAGAACACTGACTTTGACACTGTTCGGCCCCTTCCACTAACCTCCCACAGCTCACAGCCCAGAAGCATGGACAGCCAGCGGCCGCCTACAGTGGGCGAGAGTGCCTAAGTAGTGGACATGGAGCGGAGTAAGGCCAGAACCATGTAGGGAGCCCAGTGGGAGGAGAGCACCATCCCCTAGCCAGTCACCCCTTTCATGACAGATAACTCCTAGGAGGCTCGCTCCACTTCTGTATAACCAGATCAAATAGTACTTGATTGATTTGTAACAATAGACAAAAATGACAAGAGTTCACAATCTAAACATGATTGATAATTAAATCAGGATGAGGGAGTCGCATAATTTGCTGGCTCACTTCACTTCCAATTTAACCAGAACAATGTTACATGATTGATTGGCACATAATAAATATACACAAATTTGATATTTGGTTCAGAGTGGAGGAGTCATAAAGTCGCCCAACGTTTCGCGCTGAAAAACGCTTCCTTAGGGGATGGAGGGTATCTGCATGTTTGAAACATCAGTTAACATAATGTACAAAAACGAAATTAAATGATAAATGAGTAACTGAGTAACACCTACCAGTTCAGCAGGTTAACAAGTGTGCGTCTGAGCGGACCAGTCCAGCCAGCATAAGAAACATCAAATAAATAATGCCTTTTTTTTTAAAAAGGTTTGGGTAAAAAACGTCATTTTTGGTTTTGGTCTGTTCAACATTTTTATTTTCCGTTTCGGTCTCAAAATTCCATTTTGGTGCATCCCTACTTAAAACCCCCCTTTTCACTCTCATTGCGTGTTCCTCACTGGTGCCTATTCTGGGAGCGAAGACACTGGGACCTGCAGTCAGCCTCTTTCCAGTCAGCCCCCTCACCACCGTGCAGCTGCATCTTTCAGGACTTGAGAGGACCCTACTGTTAGACAGCCACATTACCCAGGCAGAGAAGACTTGAACTTAGGCAAGTAAAAGCGACATTTAGATTAAAACATTTTTAAACGTAGAGAAACGGCCGGAAGGTAGTCCGGCAGCGGGTGGGCTTCTGAAAACGTCCCTCCCGCGCACGAGCGGGAAACTGCCAAAATTTGAAACAGCCAGCGATGGCTGTTTACATACAAGCAGTCTGTAGTCTGTAAAGACGCCCGATCACTTGTATGAGGTACCTTTCTGTGCGGTCCCCCCTCTCCTCTTCTTACCTTACCTGCCGTCATGGCCGCCACTGTTGCCACTATCCCAGGCATCCGATCTGGGAATGGCATTGTGGATCTGTGCAGGGAGAACGGAGGAAGTTCAGTACACAATCTCCCTCAGATCTCCTCCACATCCTGTGAATGCAGGAAGTAATGTTTATTACATCACTTCCACATTCAGCTGTCACTCTCTGGCTACAGAAGCCAGGGAGGAGCTGGT